AATATTAGTTTAGCATTTGAGTAGTTTTAGAGTAATTTTTGGAGAAATTCTACTCCCGATCAGTTCTGTTCTGCTCTTACGGAAGCTGTAAGTTTTCTTTATTTAATAAAATGCTATTTTAATTTATGTTTGCATAGTATGAGTTAGGGTCTGGATCTCTGGGTCCGGACTAGTTTGGTTGTTTATTTTTTTTATGTTAAATTAATGTTGGAATGGTTAATCTGCTGTTTTGCCTTATTTAGTTAATTATTCTCGAAAGATTTAATTAGCTATTTATTGAGAAGATATTGTATGCTAAAAGGGCTACGATATTCAAGTACAACAGATTAAGTACAAATCTAGAAATGGATGAGTAGTAATAGAAATATTATTATTCCAATTGTTGATTTAATATGATAAAATAGATCTAAATGATGTCCTGACCCTAGGCCCAGATCTATACTTATACTATGTAAACTTAATTTATTATTACTCCGCTCCTTTTATAATCGTTTCGAGAAGACTTTCATAAACCAATCCTAATCTTCGCCTAGTCAGAGTAATTAAACTAATTCCCTTCGTCCACTCCTCGAGAGACACGACACTCGGAGAGAAAACTAACCCTTTACTGGGAAGGTTTACTACCCGAAAAATTACAACTGTCACAGAGCTTGTTGTTCCACATCCCTCTAGGCGGAAAAAAAACTTCTACTACATTTTCTCTTTTGAAACATTTCTCACATAATCTAAGATATGTCTCAATATGATGTAGTTGCTACCCAAGAAAAGTTAAAGATGGAAGTTGAGCTTATGATGAAACAAGTCAAGGAGCTCACTAATTCAGTGGAGATTCCCACGTTTGAAGGAAGAAATGACCCGGAGAAGTTCTAAAGGTGGTTAGCAAAAGTTGAAGATGTCTTTACGCTCAAAGACGTACCCGAAGACAAGAAGGTCAAGCTAGTGGTGGCAAAGTTTCAAAGACATGCCTCTACATGGTGGGCTAGCGTTGCTTCAAAATGAAAGCTCCAAGGCAAGGCTAAGGTGAGAACTTGGGAAAAGTTAAGAAAACTCTTAATTAATAGATTTTCTTCCAAAGATCATCTCCACCAGGTACTTTTTCACCCAATACTCTCCCTTTTTCACCCAATACTTTTTCTAAAGTCATACCACCTTCCCCACAACAAAAGCCGCTCCATATTGCCCTCTCTCCCATAACCTTAACCTCCTCTAAAACCCGATATTCGCAGACTTCTCACACTACCCAAATCATTTCCGAAGCCACCACCATCTGCAACACCCAAACTCCCTCTAAAGTCCCCTCTTTACCTTGCATCCATGCTGTCCAAAACATCTCTCACCCAACTCCCTCACACCTACCCAAAATTCCTACTCAAACAACCTCTTTACCTTCCTTAGCCACTGCCCAAACTAACCCAACACCCCTTACCACACCCCTGCCCCAAAATACCTCAAAACCCATTTATATATATTTCATCCCTGGCCACTGTCCAAACAAGGCCCAAAACCCTCTTCATACTCCCTCCTCCAAACTTGCCTACAACCATGCCTATAATTCTGTTGTACCCGAGACCCGGGGTCTTATCGAGTAGCTAATTTGGAGAAGGATTTGCGGAGAAAATGGACAATGGAACTGAAGGGGTAAAATATGGAGTGTGGGAAAGAGTTCTTTTTGGTGTTTTTAATGAGAGAAAAGAATAAGTTTAAGAAGAAGAAATGGTGAGGAATGAAATGGGCAGAAATAAAGTGAAGGGATAAACCAAGTTGGTGTTAAGAGATATGACACACTCTTATCTTAACTTGGGGCTTTTATCTTCTTTTACACATTAATAATCACTACTAATGTATAAAATTAGACTCCTAACACGCACTCAAAAGTAGCCAACTTTAGAGATATTTCATTAGGAAATTTGGTTAAAATAGCATCACACTATTTTAAAGAATTACTCAAAGAGTAAAACAAAGGTTTTTAATTCAATGATCTGTGGTTCTTACAATGGCCTCATGGCTGAAGTATTTATACAACAACAAATAAGGAAAAATACAATAAAGGAAACTTCCTACTTGTTTCCTAAAAATCAAAGATTAAT